TATATATATATATATATATATATATATGTATCAAAGGCCTTGTATCCAAACTCATCCAGCTGTAGTTACCTGCCTGAGTGCTCTTGCTACCTGTGATTGCCCCTAGCCCTTCAATACATTGAAGAGCCTGAATGCTTATCTAGTAAACACATTTTATGTTGGCAAAGCTAACCGTTTTAAGAGAAAAATGTACCGGGCTACCAGAATTACAGTAACGTTATTCCGAAGATATTTCGTGAAGACCGGGGATTAGGGATGCAAATTTGGATTTGAACAGCGCCGCCCAAAAAGCAACACAAAGGGTTTATCATCAGAATTGGAACTGTGTCCTCTGGCCTCTTTATTGGTAACAGTGTAGAACGCCTGTGGAAGCTACCACGACTGACCCTGGACGTTAGCGCAAGACTGTTGCGAAGAATCAGCGTACTTACATACGGCGTGCCCCAATATCTCCCAAGGCAGTATCCCAGTATCCCAAGGCAGCTACCCTCATCACTGACACAGACTCCCAATCATTGAAACAGATGCTGACAGCATAGCTATTGTGGCCTCTCGAAAGAAAATTTTAAAGTACTGGAGAAGCCTGAGTAAATGATTGCTGCTAAAAACCACAAACACTGCAGAATTAATGAAAAAAGGAAACACTGTTTTCCAGCCAGAAGTTTCTCACCGTTTCTCGTAAGAGGAACTGCGAAAACGAATCTTGTTTTTCGTCGTTTTTACGTTTACACATCAGTTTTACTTGTTTGTCCATCGCGTTGCACAGCTGACGAGTGACGTCAAGTGTGGCTAATTCACAAATCTCTAAATCATCCTGGAATTACCGGTGGGTAAATTCTGTTAGCTCACGCAATCTACCATTAATTGCCGATAAAATCCGAGAAGTTACTACTATCTGTGGGACCCGTGTGGAGCTCGAGCCATGGTTTTTATCCAGTCTACATTCCACCTACAAACCCTACTCAACCATTTGAAAAACCCAGTGCCAACCTTGAAGAATCACCATCACCAGGTGAAGGTAACAGCTGCCTACTGACTGCAAGTGATTATTCCACTAACTGCTTCATCTTGCGCAAGGAATAGCTCAGAGGTTAGAACGCGAATTAACTGACTGGAAGTCCCTCTGCATCTCGACAGTTTCCGTCTAGGCTTGGGCAACCTGGCAGTATATCAGCCATCGTGCTTTCTTCGAGTGGCATGGCGGCTAGGCACCTGAAGGGCGCTACAGCTAAGGGATTATTATTATTACCATTATTATTTAATCTTACTTGCCCAGACACCATATTGCCCGTTGCAATCAACTGCATTTTGACTTTGCATACCACACATATCACAGAAGCTGAGAAATTTCCCGCATTCAAAAATCATTACAATTGGCCGAGCAACTACTTATGACTATCAAGACAATGGCATCATCATCATCATCGACAGTATGACATCAGTGTTCAACACCGATGCCTCACTGCCAAACTGAATGATTAAATCAACGTTTCTAAATGAAGGTGGCGGGTGAAGAATCGAAGCTTGACTGGAGAAAAGGCGGTAGGGAGCGAAAGAAACGTGCTTACTTGTGATCAAACGGCATTCATGTCTGAGTGATATGTATGCTAATGAAAACCATGTGTGCGTTTCTTGCGCTACTACATTGGCTAATCCAAAGAAACATCTGTGCAGGTGCTGTGGTTACTAACCTACCGTTCTCGTAGGTTGGTGATTTACACCAAAACACTCGCCTTACTCTGAGCTCTGGGAGACTTCTGACATGCACACTTATGTTTCGATGTTTCTGGAATTCATAATATTCATAACCAAATTAACGACGAGGGGTTCCGCATCCCTACAACTAAGAAAAATGCTGACTCTGTGGTGCGGAATACTTGAGTAGGAATTCGCGTCTTTTCTAGTTGACCAAGATTAGTCTGTGGTTGCAGAATGATGGCGTATTTGGACGTAACCTTTGAATGACTTCCGGTCAGGAGACCACAGAGCAAATCGTGCCTGGCGAATCGTTGATGTTTGCTCTTGAAACAAGTAGCCTACCAAAAGAGAGGCTTCTAAACGAGGGTAGTAAGGTACAAGCATTATTTCATTACAGTTTTGGCCTTACTCTCCATGTAATACATAAAGAAGCGATCCTGCCTATGTAGGTAAGGATGAAGGGATGAACCAAGAGGCTTGACCGCCAGACCAAATGGTACGATAAGACGTGTTTCAGCGTCTATACTGAAATCGTCAGGATGCAAATCCTTGGCTAACTACCCACTGACTTCTTCGGGCGAATAGTGAATAGTCATGGTTTTAATAAATATAAAAAGCCAATGACCCTAGCAAACTACAGGCTTAGAACTTTATCCCATAGTTGTGGTAAAGGAACCGTTGTCCACGGGGCCCACCATGATTGCTGACAGTTGCCAGGTGCGCATAGAAGGCCAAACCATCTTCGGTCAACAGCTCTCAGCTGTAAACCACACATGTCCCCTGGGTTGCAGAGCTGACAGGAGTGGCTAATTCATGAAGTCTATCGGTGAACATTTACGTTGTTTTATCTGAAAAGCCCGAGTTTCCAGGCCAAAACGTACCAGTGCAACTACAGAGATACAGTGGTTTATGCGTTCCCTAAGCTTTAATGAAAATCGTTTATCAAACTCTAAACGAATATTGCTCCCTATAATGCGTGGATTAAGCATTGCAGTGGGGAGTGCACAGAGGCTGTCTCGTACCACATACAAAAAGGGACCCTAAATGGTTGTCAATAAGATCGTCAAGGATAATATCACGAATTTAGTGCATGGCAATAACTGAAGTAGCTGCATATTTCCTACAACATGTTGGATGGCCATCTGCTTCCTTACTCACGTATTTCACTTGACCTGCTCACCTAGAGTCGTGGTCTGAGTTTAGATTATCGTTCGGTCCCTAAAATACCAATATACTCTCTTCCTGTCGTTTATTCCCATGAGTCTGTTCGCATTAGAGCTTGCTAGGAGATCTCAAATGTCCCCCTAATAACTAGTGGACTTGACTAGGGTTGTACATTCACGCTTTTTTGCTCAGCTTATTCTTTGGCACCGTTATGAAATTCATTACGCAATGCACCGCGAATCTGAATAAACCCCATCTGGATAAACACGTTCAGACTTAGATTGTGTTCTCTGGTATCACGCTGAATCCCTAACTCCAAAGTTTGGTAACATCGTTGGGCGACAATTCGGAAGAACTTCAACGAACTAAAGATGCTACCTGACATCTGAATGATTGTATACCAAGTGTTTTCCTCCTGTAGTAACGTTTCTACATGGCCTGTTAGCATAGTCGGTTAACATCACCACCATCATCATCAAAGACAGCAGATTTAATGCTGATACTGATGCATCACTGCCTTACAACCATGAAGTTCGTCTAATTATAGTTGAAGCCTTCGACTGAAAAGAAGAGAAAAAAGAATGGGTGAGGACAGAGACCTGGTGCTGTCCTATATCAAGTATTCTTAGGTCATACACCTCCATGCGCCCAACTAATCTGGAGAAAATGACACTAGGAACGACACGTACATCGATTAGTCGACATTTCTTACAAAGTCTCCAGCCAATCGCAGGCGGGGTCACGGGGATTCCATCCTGGAAGGCGCACAACACAAAAAACCAAGCTCTTCGTTATTTCTTTCACACCCTTCTGATAAGTCGCAAGTTGCCCATCCCACGTTTGTGCTATTCTGAAGGAGACACGGAGAACAGCACTC